TGGCTCACATCTGTAATCCCAGCACTTTGGAAGGCCTAGGCAGGAGGATCATTTGAGGTCAAGAGTTCAAGACCAGCCTGAGCAAGGGTGAGATTCCATCTCTACAAAAAATAGAAAAATTAGCCGGGTATGGTGGCGTGCGCCTGTAGTCCCAGCTACTCTGGAGGCTGAGGCTGGAGGATCGCTTGAGCCCAGGAGTTTGAGGTTACAGTGAGCTACGATGAGGCCACTGTACTATAGCCTGGGCAACAGAGAGAGACCATGTCTCAAAAAAAAAAGATGGTAAAATATTTTTTTATGAAAGGTGGTAACTTTTGTTAATATTTAAATGCTTTCCAAAGAATAATAAAGGTAAAATATTGTTTCCAAAAGAGTTTCAAGATTATCAAAAACTTTAAAGAATAACTGTCGCATAATGTATTTTAAGGAATAATAGTCACGTAATTTTTAATAATAAACAGTAAAGGTCACATGCTTTAAGCACTCAACAAATATTTGTAGAATTCAGGATATATTAATGAATTTAAGAAACAATCTGGAAGAGCAGTATTTGTAGTTAGCATAAAACTTAATATAAAGTGCTGAGTAGATGAAAAATGAATCAAATTGAAATTAATCCCAGTTCAAAAGGACAATGAGTAAAACTCAATCAGCTGCAAACAATAAATGAGGAAAAACGTTTAATTATATTTTTTTCATTTCTAGCTATGAAATTGGAGAGGAAAGGGCTTAGGAGCTATCTGCAGAACACTCTTTATGCCCACACAGACTTCCATCATGATTTTCCACAGCAAGTTCAGTTATTTTCAATTTGCTCTTTTGAAGTACTACTTCAAGTTTACATTTGTATTGTTTCATAGGTCTTTGTGTATGTTATTACACATTCGTATAATATGTTATTACATTCATGTGTATGTTATTACCTCATTCGGTCTTCACAACAATACTCTAGGGTATCTATTTTTAGCTCAGCATAATGAAAGGAAAAACTGAGGCCTCTAAGAGGGAAATGATTTGTTCAAGATCATAAGGCTAACTAGTGGTAGAGCTAGCACTAAAGCCCTATCTCCTGCTTCAGACCCTGGGGCGTTTCCCCATAGTACCATCTAGGTGACAGCACCTCTCTATTAATCTCAAAGACCATTTGTCCCCCAAATAGAGCTACCTTGTTTTTCAGCAGATGGTCAGAGAACACTCATACCTATGGACAAAATGTGTGGAAAGCAATTTGGTAATATTTAAAACAATTTAAAAAATAGGTAGTTCATTCCTGGGATTAATGAACAGAAATAATTTAAATAAATTCAAAGCCATATGCCCAAAGTTGATTATTGCAACATTATTTATGACAGGAAAAGAGAAGGGAAAAATGAAGAAAAATAAGGTAATTGCTATCAAAAGAGAGAGATAACTAAGTAAATCATGTTTCATCAAATTGGTAAATTATTATACTGTTAACATAATTATGAAGACTAAAAACAAGGTGGAAAATGTTTAAAGTGATTTTAGCTGGGAAGTATGTTTGAGAAGCCTGGAAGGAAACAGAAATATGAAAACATTTTGTTACACACGTGGAGTTTTTAAATAAATTTTCTTTAACAGTTTGTATTTAATACTTTAGTAAATAGCTTTAATAACAGATACATATACAGTTCACATGAAGATATTTCAGCCAAAGAAGACTAAAATCACACACAAATTTGGAAATCTAACTTTTGAAACATGATTGGGGTTCCTTAAATACATGCGTATGATGTGTTAGGTTTGTTTTTCTGTGCTCAGACCATTCTTCCCACCAGCGTCCTGCCATGTCTGCTGAGTTCCAGTCCCTTCTTCATCTCTGTCTCTAAAGTTATGCCTGCTATCTTATTTGCTTCCTGTCATCCACAGAGTTTATCTGACTCTGGACTTCCAGGGGCATCAAAGGGAGCTGCCACTTTAGATTGGAGGAGGGAACAGAATGAGACATTAAGCCCTGGCTGTCTCTCAATGACATTAGGCCATGATAGCTGATCTCAAAAAGAAAAAGCAGCTGACTTTTGCTTTAAGCTACTGAATCTAAAGCACAAAGGTTGAAGCTCCCTTAAATCAATCATTCCAAAGGTCGATGGCTGGCCGTGTGCAAGATAGAGAGTGACCTGGGAAGGTCGCAGAATGGCTGTTGTGCAAGGTGGCAGGGCCCAGGGTGAACTCCCCTACGAACTCCATTCCGGTTTTCCCAGCAGATCTCCTTTATGTCAGGCCAGAGAACGCACAGAGATAGATATCCCTGTTTCGTCAAGGTTTATGTCAAACTCACTGTCTCGGAGCGAAACGTTTTAGCTTGTTCCTTGGCTAACAGGATCAAGTCATAGCCCTGAGTGCTGTATGCACAGCCTCCCCCACACTCTCCACGCCAGAACGAAGAGGCTGCCTTCAGCCCAGAGCAAAGATAACCCTAGGTACCTTGATAGCCTATGCAAATAGCAGCAAAGGTGAAAGAGACATGGTGGAACACGAAGGTCACCTTGGGGCCTAACAACACACGGCACATATCTATGTCCAGAAAACTTGTTTGGAAAAGAGTTGCAAAGGTACATGTCTGTTGTCTTCTAAACTCTACTGTTTCTCATTCAAATGCTGGCATAACCAATATTTTATCACAGCTGAGGTCATCTTGCATATATTATAGTTACGGAAATAGCAATAGAGCATCTATTTTGAAGAAACTCCCTCCCCACCTTGTTTTTCCCTGTTAGGACTGGTTAATTCTTGTTAGGGCTGGATTAATACATTTATACGGACTCTGTCTACTCTCCATTCATTGTCTACACAAGCAAAAGCTAAATGTGCAAGACAGCTAGTTTGTGGCTCAAAATGTTATACGTATTCAGTGCTTTCCAGTTTGTGCATCAGAGGTGCACAGAGCCCTGAAAAGTGTGCCTTCTGTGGATGAAGGCACAGAGGCTGCCAGGATTAACTGACTGTTTAGAATAAAGCAAATAATGAATGCCTTATTTAAATCCTAGGAATGCATGACTGCTCTAGCTTTGCATCTGAAAAGGGGGGAAAGCAGTTCTCAAGACTTTCTGTTGTGATTCTAGCCCCAGAAAAGCCCAGAAAGAGCTGCTGAAATCATTTAAGAGTCTGCCCCAGGCTCCCCTGTTACTCCTTTCAGAAGCTCAACCTCAGGTTGGAGGCAAGGGAGGAGGTTACAGCCTAAACACTTCTCTGAGAGGAAAGCATTCTTAAGGATCCTTGGGAACATGTGGGTGCTAAATGGTTCCAGAATCTTCTGAAGACAATCAGATGTAAGAACAGGTAGACAGAGGCATCTGTCCTCCAGAAAATCTTTCAGCAAATGATTTAAATTAGCTTTTCTCGCTGGCATGGTGGCTTACAGTCTATAATCCTAGCACTCTTGGAAAGCTGAGGTAGGAGAACTGCTTGAGGTCAGGAGTTTGAGACCAGCCTGAGCAAAAGTGAGATCCCATCTCTACAAAAAGTAGAAAAATTAGCCAGGCACTGTGGCATTCACCTGTAGTCCCAGCTACTGGGGAGGCTGAGGTAGGAGGATCACTTGAGCCCAGGAGTTTGAGGTTGCTGTGAGCTAGGCTGATGCCACGGCACTCTAGCCTGGGTGACAGAGTGAGACTCTGTCTTAAAAAAAAACAAACAAAAAAGCAAAACAAAAAGCACGGTGGCACCAGTTTTGGAATCCCCAGCCCTTACATCAATGCCTACGTTCCCCACCCTAACAGGAGTTACGGAACATTTTCAGTGTCCACCGGGCCTATCAAGTTTGAATCCACTGTTCAAATCCATTCGTTTTGACCTATAAAAAGGCAGTTTCGGATAGTTCATCCTGGTGTTAAAACATCTCCATTGAGCAAGAGAATAGCTAAGGAACAAACCTGGAAGAAGACTCTGTGGGACAAAAGTAATAAACACCCAGATAAAGTAGAGCAACTGAGAGGCCCGAGCAGAGACGGCGGGCCGGGGCGCGGGGCCGGGGCGCGGGGCGGGGCCGGGCCGGGGCGCGGGGCCGGGGCGCGGGGCGGGCCGGGGCGCGGGGCCGGGGCGCGGGGCGGGGCGGCGCTTTGCTGCCCCCTCGGCTGTGGCTCCTGATCTTAGCCGGACCATGTCTTGTGGCTTGTAATTATTTTCTATGTAATGCCTTACTCTATGCAACTTTGCATGTTTTCTTTCACACATTTCAGCCTTATTTTCGCAATAAAGAACTTCCTGAGGCCAAGTTGCTGTGCCCTGTGTCTCAGCCTCTGGGGCAGGGCGAGCGGGCCCTGAGTCGGTCGGGAGGGCAGTTCTCGGAACCAGAGGCGGGGCGGGCTGCGCGGGGCGGGCGCGCGGGGCGGGCTGCGCGGGGCGGGCTGCGCGGGGCGGGCGCGCGGGGCGGGCTGCGCGGGGCGGGTGCGCGGGAACAGAAAGGCAGGGAGGCGCGCTAGTGGTGGCAGCCACCTTTTGGCAGCGCCGCCCGCGTACTCTGTGCTACATATTTCACATATATATAAGCTCTATATCTGACTACAACCTTACAAAGGATGTTACTGTGATTAACTTCATTCTACAGCTGAGGATACAAAGAGATTTCAGAAAGGTTAAGTAACTTGCCTAAGGCTACAGAGTGAGCACCTGCATTGCCCTGTACTTCTAAATTAGGAACAAAGGGAGATTCCGTAGAACAGTGACCAGTCACTGCTCTGTGTCTTCCTCCATGGAGGAGGCAACCCTATAACCTGCACAGCGTCTCGCCTGCTCCAAGAGGGCCCAGGGAGGGCCTCGACCGGAGGAGAAGTGAGACAGAGCCGCACTCGGCTCTGCGGCTCCTCCGCTGGAAGCCCTGGAGGTGCAGAGAGCAGACTGGGAGGCCAGCAGGGCTCCCTGGCAGCCCCCCTGCCCACCCTACCCAGCACTAATTGTGTCCATGAAAAGCCCTTTTACCAGCCACATACAACCATTGTGAGCAAGGACAATAAAGATCAATAATATTTTCTTCTTTTTAGGCTCATTCAAAAGTTTGGCATAACTACAACATAAATTTCCGTCCACATCAGAAGGGTTGGTTATCGATCACATTGGGATCCCATTGGATTGAGCCAAACAGATCAGAAAACATGATGGATATAGTCAAGTGCCAGCAATCCATGGTTTCTGTGCTTGGCTGGTTTGCGCACCCTATCCATGGGGAGGGCGACTATCCAGAGGAAATGAAGAAGAAATTGCTCTCCATCTTACCCCTTTTCTCTGAAGCAGAGAAGAGTGAGATGAGAGGCACAGCTGACTTCTTTGCCTTCTCCTTTGGACCTAACAATTTCAAGCCCCTAAACACCATGGCTAAAATGGGGCAAAATGTGTCACTTAATTTAAGAGAAGTGCTGAACTGGATTAAACTGGAATACGACAACCCTCGCATCTTGATTGCTGAGAATGGCTGGTTCACGGACAGCCATGTGAAAACGGAAGACACCACAGCCATCTACATGATGAAGAATTTCCTCAACCAGGTACTTCAAGGTTGGTTGCACATTAGGTCAAATTTGTAAATTTTAAAGTCACCTTGGAATATATGATTATTATTGTTGGGCTTTTGTATTGTCCAATGTTGACAGACCTTTTTTTAATGTTACTCCCATGACCTTTTAAAAATAAGTTTGAGAACAAAATAATTTCAGACTAAAGAGCTACATCCTTAATTGGCAAGAAGATGTTTCATTCTTTCAGGGCTAAAAGAGATATGTTTAAAGTTTCCTAACAGTAGTATTTTATTCTAAGATGCTGAATGTTCTTCTTGAAATTGTGATCCTTATGTTCTGTGACATGACGGATCCATCAAAAGGTCTGGAGAGGCCGGGCGCGGTGGCTCACGCCTGTAATCCTCGCACTCTGGGAGGCCCAGGCAGGCAGATTGCTCGAGGTCAGGAGTTCGAAACCAGCTTGAGCAAGAGCGAGACCCCGTCTCTACTATAAATAGAAAGAAATTAATTAGCCAACTAATATATAGAAAAAATCAGCCGGGCATGGTGGCGCATGCCTGTAGTCCCAGCTACTTGGGAGGCTGAGGCAGTAGGATTGCTTGAGCCCAGGAGTTTGAGGTTGCTGTGAGCTAGGCTGACGCCACGGCACTCTAGCCCAGGCAACAAAGTGAGACTCTGATTCAAAAAAAAAAAAAAAAAAGGTCTGGAGACAAAACTGAGTAATTTCCATGGCTCCTGGAGATTTCTTCTATCCCCTACTTACCCCTCATTCCTTTTCCATTACTCAAGTAGTGACATCTACAGGTGGCTGATAGAAATGATGGAGCAGAAGACAAGCCTCAAGTTCTGTTCCCTACAGAGTTGGGCTCCATTTTACTCAAATAAAAAGGAATTCTCTGTGGACCTTACCAAAACTCTGCAGCTCTGTTTAGAAGGCACAGCCTGGAGGAAAACCAGGATCTGTAGCACAGAGTCTTCAGGGGTTGCCCTGAAGGAGAGCAGGACCCTGCTGCCCCAGGTTGCAGGAAGGAGCAACCTGGAACGGAGCCACGCCTGGCCACGGCCACATGTGCATGGGCGCCAGGGCAGAGGACAGTACCTGTAGGGCTGGGGTCAAATGCCATGCATGTGGGCAGAGGAGGTGTCTGTTCCCCAGAGGTCACCATGACATTGTCCTCAGGATCCTACACCACCAAGGGACTAGAAATAGGGCCTTCTTGGAATCTTTTTGGCATGGGTTTTTCCTACCTTTTAGGAAAAGAATGTCAGTGATAAAACCCAAAACTGGGCCAGGCACGGTGGCCCATGCCTGTAATCCTAGCACTTTGAGAGGCAGTGGTGGGAGGATTGCTTGAGCTCAGAGGTTCGAGACCAGCCTTAGCAAGATGGAGACCCTGTCTCTACCAAAAATAGAAAAATTAGCCGGGCGTGGTGGCACATGCCTGTAGTCCCAGCTACTCGGGAGGCTGAGGCAGGAGGATCACCTGAGCCCAGGAGTTTGAGGTTGCTGTGAGCTGGGCTGACAACACAGCACTCAGGGCAATGGAGTGAGACTGTCTTGATAAAAAATAAATAAAAATAAAAATTTTAGAACCCCCAAATGCAGAGATGAGACATTTCTATGAGAGAAAAGAATGCCTTTAACCACTTCGGTGGGGCGCTCACCGGCCGCGAACCCTCGCCCACAGCCGCACCCTTAGTCTGCCCAGCCGTCTGCTCTCGTGTGACGCGGGAAGCGGGAAAGCAGCGACAGCTTGTTTTACTTCACAGGCAGTTTTACTTGTCATGTCAATCAGAATAGGTAACATGCACATATATGTTTTCATTACGTTATTTTTAAATGTTCACAATTTTATTTTGATAAATGAAAAATTAGAAAAGTCATATCATGGCTGTCGGCTACAGTCGCTGTGCGCGTTCATCTGCGGCTGTCGACTACAGTCGACGCTCGTAATGAAGTGGTTAAGAAAAGAAAGATGAGGCTGGTGGCTCACGCCTGTCATCCTAGCACTCTGGGAGGCCAAGCTGGGAGGATTGGTCAAGATCAGGAGTTCGAAACCAGCCTGAGCAAAAGCGAGGCCCTGTCTCTACTAAAAATAGAAATTAATAGGCCAATTAAAAATATATAGAAAAAATTAGCCGGGCATGGTGGCGCATGCCTGTAGTCCCAGCTACTTGGGAGGCTGACGCAGGAGGATGGCTTGAGCTCAGGAGTTTGAGGTTGCTGTGAGTTAGGCTGATGCCATGGCACTCCAGGCGGGGCAACAGAGTGAGACTCTGTCTCAAAAAAAAAAAAAAAAAAAAAAAAAAAGAATTTGTATTTATAAAAAGAAAAAAATAAAATAAAAATAGAAAAGAAAAGAAAGATGATTCAGGGCTGATTTGACATTTGTTGTTTTGACTGCTGTCGTTGATTTTCGTATTTCGTTTTTACCCAATTCCTAGAAGTTTTCAAGCTAGAAAGGTCCTTGGAGATCATCATTTCCGATCCTTTCTATTTACAAATGAGGAAACCAAGGCCAAGAAACCTGCCCAGGAGCACCCTCCCAGAAGCTCAGCAGGACGAGGCCCGGGCCCTCAGCCCCTCAGCCACGCTGGCTCTGGACCTCGTTCACCACTTTGCCTCCTTACATCTATGTTCGCTTAAGGCAAATCTGACAGCGATCTTTTTAGTCCTGGAAGATAGTTTCATAGAATGGATAGCTTGTCCAAGACAGGAACCAACCCAAACTGGAAATGAGGAAGTCTTGGTCACAAGCAGATGTCTGGTCTTGGTCCCAAAGGGTTCTAGAAATTACCATGCCCCCTGACACAGATTTGCACACCAAGTCTCAGAAATACTTTTAATTTGATCCTTTAACTGTCATTCACTTGTTTCGAGGGCAGGGGGTGCCATTCTAGGTGAAAATAACTGCCACTTTTCAAGTATAAACATTAGTTTTCTCTTTGACGTAACGGGCCCACAAATTAGGAAAAAAGTTGGTTTCGCAATATGCTGTCCCCTGGCATGCCGTTAGCGAAATTATAAACATGAACTAGAGTGTTTAGGCCTCTGAACACCTCTGCTTTCTTTTCTCTGTGCAGCAATAAGGTTGGATGAAATCCAAGTGTTTGGTTATACTGCCTGGTCGCTCCTGGATGGCTTTGAATGGCAAGATGCTTACACTACCCGCCGAGGATTGTTTTACGTGGATTTTAATAGCAAACAGAAAGAAAGGATACCCAAGTCTTCGGCACATTACTATAAACAGATCATAAGAGAAAATGGCTTTACTTTAAAAGAGTCCACACCAGATGTGCAGGGTCAGTTTCCCTGTGACTTCTCCTGGGGTGTCACTGAATCTGTTCTTAAGGTAAGTGGCTACTTCCAAATTAACCATAAACTGGGGCAAAGAGCACACAATATTTTATTTCATTTATTTAATGACAGCTAAAAGATAGCCGTCGGAGGTTATAAAATACCACGATAGCTGGAAGGTTATGGAGGAGAGCTGGGGAAAGAGAAGGGAGAAATAGAAGGTGCTGAATGCTGGCTGAGAGCTTTTTACTTGGCGGTGCAGCTGGGACGTGAAGGAGCTGCCCTCAGGTGCACAGAGTCTGGAGGGAATCGATAGTCATTTATTAGTCGTGTCAAAATTATATGGAAAATAATTTTAGATTTTTTTGTTGTCAAAAGCAAATTATTAGCAGCCCTTTGATTCTTTTTATGTAATAGAGTTGGATGGTTTGCCTCACGAGGCCTCTGTATCCATCCCAGTAGAGCCTCCACACGCGTCTCTTTCCTCACCTTCTGGAGATGTTTCCTCAAATATCACCTTCTCTGGCTTCCCCCACTCCAACAATCCTAACCCTGTCCCCATCACCTCTCCCCCTTTCCTGCTTTATCTTTGTACAAAGCACTTATCACCACCTAACATACTAAGTACTTTCCACATTTTTCTCATATATCACCTCTGTCTCCCTGCTAGAATGCATGAAGACAGAGCTGTTTGAGGCTTTTATACCTGCTGTATGCCTCACTAGAGCAGTGCCGGGCACATGGCAGGTGCTCAGGTAAATGAATGAGATCACCTTTTAGAGCCAGGTGAGACCCTAGAGAGTTCCCATTCCAAATCCTTCATTTTTATAGGGGATGAAAGTGAGACCTATCAACTTGCCCAAGGAAACACAAGTCCTGGCAGAACTGTTAACAGGCAGTCTTTAGGCCTCCAGATGCACAGTGCTTTTTCCAAAATCATAATAACTATTGTTAAAGCCTTTAGTATGTACTAAGCATTTTCTCTGCTTAATCTTAAAACCCCCATTTTACAAGCAAGGAAACTGAGGTTGAGGGAGATTATGTAACTTGCCCAGGTTTCCTGGTCTGTCTCCTGCCCACTATGCTGTAAGACCTCAGGATGCCACACTATTGCCTATAGTCTAGGAGCATATGGAAAGATGCATAAGGGATGAGATCGACAAAAGAGTTTAAACTGTGATTGGGCAAAGTCCACAGGTTATGAATCTGTGGAACCCCTGTGGCTATTTAAATAAAATTTTAGTTAAAGCTCAGGGTGAGTAAAAGGGGAAAGATACAGAGAGCAGAATAAACACAGTGACTCATCTTCAGCTTGTGGCCCCTCTATAGCCACCTACTTAACCAGTTCCTTCCTCTTCCTCCACATGGCAGAGACAGGCCATCTTTTCCCAACCACTTCAAGTAGATTTATAGTTATCCAAATTCTCAGCAAAGAATGATCCCAGAGATACGAGTTTCTTCTCCCACCCATGTGGGAGACCCAAACTGCAAGCTCCAGCTTTAAATGAAGACTTATTTATTTTAATTAAAAAATATTATTATGCTAGGCCGGGCGCGGTGGCTCACGCCTGTAATCCTAGCACTCTGGGAGGCCGAGGCGGGTGGATTGCTCGAGGTCAGGAGTTCAAAACCAGCCTGAACAAGAGCGAGACCCCGTCTCTACTATAAATAGAAAGAAAATTAATTGGCCAACTAATACATACAGAAAAAATTAGCCGGGCATGGTGGCGCATGCCTGTAGTCCCAGCTACTCGGGAGGCTGAGGCAGTAGGATCGCTTGAGCCCAGGAGTCTGAGGTTGCTGTGAGCTAGGCTGCCGCCATGGCACTCACTCTAGCCTGGGCAACAAAGTGAGACTCTGTCTCAAAAAAACAAAACAAAACAAAACAAAATATTATTATGCCTACTCCCACACATTCCTATCTTATTTCCCCCTAGCCTGTTAGCATTCTTTTTTCCTCCAACATTTTATTTTGAAAAATTTCAAACTTGTACAATAGAAACACATATTCCCTTTATGGAGAGCAACCATGCTGCCACAATTCTTTTATCTCTGCTTCTCTCTCTCTTATGAACCGTTGATAAATTAAATACATCATTACACTCCACTCCAAAATATTTCAGCATGTATCTTCTAAGAACAAAACATTCTTATGATTCCCAGAAAATTTAACCTTGATTCAATATCATCTAACATACAATCCACATTCAATTTTTCCTAAATGTCCCAGAAATGTCTTTTATACATTAAAACAATTTTTGATTAAAAATACAAACAAAGATCACATGTTGGTTGTTGTATGTCTTTAGCCTTCTTTAACTGAGAGCAAGCTCTTCAAACTCATGGTATTGACCCTTCTGAAGAGTCCAGGCCAGTTGATTGTAGAATATTTCATGTTCTGGATTGCTCTGGTTGTTTCTTTATTAGCTTCAGTTAACCACTTAAACATTCAGTTAACTTCCTCTTCTGGAAAGAATACTACATATGTTTATTTCTCAATGCATCACATCAGGAGGTATACATCAGTAATTTGTTTCATTACTGAAGACAATGTGATTGGTTGAAGTAGTATCCCCAGATTTCTTGGTTCAAGGTGGCATTTGCTAGATATTTTAATTAAGTTGTAACTTTTCCATTTTTAATTAAGAAGTAATCTGATGATACCGTTAGAATCTAAGAATATCCTGTTCCCCAACAACTTTTCACCTAATGGTCTTAACATTCTTTCATGAACCTTGCCTTGTAGATTATAAAATGGTCACTTTCTAATTAGATTATTCCTTCTACATTTATTAGCTGGATTCTTTTAAGTTCAGTGTTTTACAATTCATTATTATCATTATGACATTACTCCTTTTGATTCTCAAATTGTCCTCAAATTTAGCCAATGGGACCCCCTCCAAGCTGCTACCGTGTCTTTTTGACAGTTCTCTTTCAGATTTTAAGCACTTCCTTATATTTTGGCATAATATGCCACCGCCTCACTTCATTCTTTTCCTGCCCTAGATCTGGAAAAAGCCATTTCTCCAAGGAGCCCAGGATCCTTTTAGTGGAGAGTAGGATTTTAGAAACAAGCTTTGGGAGCTAGGGTTGGGATTGGTGTATATGATTAATCTCTTAGCAGATTAATCATACACACTTGCTGTCTAAAACGAATGCTTTCTAGAGGTTTTAAAATTTTTTGATACATAGCAGATGTACATATTTTCAGGGTACATGTGATAATTTAATGTATTCATATAGTCAAGTCAGAGTAATGGCGATATCCATCACATTAAATATTTACCTTTATGCTAGCAACATTTGGATTATTCTCTTTTAACTATTTTGAAATATACAATAGATTAATGTTAATTGTAGTTACTCTGCTGATCTATCAAACACCAGGTCCTCTTTCTTCTAACTGTAGCTTTCTGGAGGTTTTTAAAAGACATATTTTTATTTGATCTTGCCTTGCCTCATGGCAAGCTTGCCTTTTGTAAACACCCATTCAATATCATGGTGTTCTGAGTTTTTCAATACATTGACACTGGCCATCTAGTCTAGGAGGATTTTACTCAAATAATTATATACAGATTTAACTTTATGCTCACATGATCAATGTTCTCTCACTTTAATGTTTTAGATTACTGGTTGGCAGATGGCAAGTGGGCAGTGATATGGCTTTGTAATTAGACTATGAAGGATGACAGACAAGAAAACAATTAGAGGAAAAATATTGATCCAAGCAAGGTTAATTATCATTTTTTCTTCTGGTGCATTTAAATTCAGTCATGAGAAGAAAAAGTCCTTTAAAACAACAACAGAGCTTTCCCTTAGTAATCTTGAATTTGGAAATGTTTTTATTAAGCCAAAGGACTTTTAGTTTAGACTCAAATGGCCTAGCATGCAATTATTGCAACCAGGAAAAACAATCCAAGCCATGACTACATTATGTTTGCACAGTGCTTTCAAGTTGCCAGAGCACTTTCCCAGAGTCACTGAGTCCTCACGACACACCTGTGAGGTGGGTGAGATTGCTCCATCACTAGATAGTTGCCAAGCCTGCGATTCAAGGGGGCAGAACTACAACAGGAGTCCAGGGCTCTCTCCTTGGTGGAGAGGCAGGAAATGAGATACTATCAGATTCAAAAGACAACCTTGGGAGTTCCTGGAAGTATTTTATGGTCCTTTCCACTCATAACCCAAGTGCCTTGCATAGAGAAAGTGTCTAGTATTCTTCCGTTGGATGAATAAATGCTTTGTTCTCACAGGCGCATGATGGGAGAGACGTAACAGATGCAAATGTGCTGGAAGAGTTAGAGACTCGCATTCAGTGATTGCAGGGTCATTGCCTGCCCCACCCCACTGGCCTTTCTTAGGAATTGTGGTTGGGGTCAGCCAGCCTCCTCCAACCCCAAGTGCTGGTCTCAGTGAAATCCTCTACAGTTGAATTTCAACTTTGTCTTACATTTATGGCAGTGTTTAGCGTACATCTTTTATAGTTGCTTTTAACTAAGGTTACCAAGCCCATTTCCTAATGCATTTGAACAAGTATCATGTGAAACCCCACCATGCAACCTGGGTTTTTAGGTCAAATGAACTTGAAAACAGCTTCTCAGTGTTTTATTCAACTACTTGTTTTCCAAGCCAAGCCGTGGGTGTGCTTTCTTGCCTATGTTCTCTGGTCTCCCTGGGAAATTTCAAGGGCTAGAAAGTAGGATTTCCCACCAGGCCTTTTCTCTGACTTCACCAGAACAGCAGGAACACACCGGTCCTTAGGAAGGGCATACACATCGTTTATTTTCTCTTTTGTCAGTGAGAGGCAAAATAAAACCAGGCCCCTCTTCCTCTCAGAACATGTATGCTAAGACCCTGTGTCTGCCAGCCCACCCTTTAATTTAATGTGCTTGTTTTTCGCAGCCCGAGGCTGTGGCTTCCTCCCCACAGTTCAGTGACCCTCACCTGTATGTGTGGAATGCCACCGGCAACAGACTGCTGCACCGAGTGGAAGGGGTGAGGCTAAAAACACGACCGGCTCAATGCACAGATTTTGTCAGCATCAAAAAACAACTTGAGATGCTGGCAAGAATGAAAGTCACCCACTACCGGTTTGCTCTGGACTGGGCCTCAGTCCTCCCCACTGGCGACCTGTCCACTGTGAACCGACAAGCTCTGCGGTACTACCGGTGCGTGGTCAGTGAGGGGCTGAAGCTCAGCATCTCCCCAATGGTCACGCTGTACCATCCGACCCACGCGCACCTGGGCCTCCCCACGCCGCTGCTGCACAGCGGGGGGTGGCTGAACCCGTCCACCGCCCAGGCTTTCGAGGCCTACGCCGGGCTGTGCTTCCGAGAGCTGGGCGACCTGGTGAAGCTCTGGATCACCATCAACGAGCCCAACCGGCTGAGCGACGCGTACAGCCGCAGCGGCAACGACACCTACCGGGCGGCGCACCACCTGCTGCTGGCGCACGCGCGCGCCTGGCGCCTGTACGACCGGCGCTTCCGGCCGGCGCAGCGCGGGGCCGTGTCGCTGGCGCTGCACGCCGACTGGGCGGAGCCCGCCAACCCCTTCGCCGCGTCGCACCGGCGCGCGGCCGAGCGCCTCCTGCAGTTCGAGCTGGCCTGGTTCGCCGAGCCGCTCTTCGGGAGCGGGGACTACCCGCCGGCCGCGCGCGCGCACCTGGCCGCCCGGGCGCGGCGCGGGCTCGCGGGCGCCGCGCCGCCCCGCTTCTCGGAGGCCGAGCGCAGGCTGGTGCGCGGCGCGGCCGACTTCTGCGCCCTGAACCACTTCACCACCAGGTTCGTGCTGCACGAGCAGCCGCGCGGCGGCCGCCCCGACTCGGACAGGGACGTCCGGTTCCTGCAGGACGTCACCCGCCTGCGCTCGCCCTCGCGCCTGGCCGTGGTGCCCTGGGGGGCGCGCAGGCTGCTGCGCTGGGTGCGGCACAACTACGGCGACGTGGACGTGTACATCACTGCCAACGGCATCGACGACCCGGCTCTGGAGGACGACCGGCTCCGAAAATACTACGTGGAGAAGTACATTCAGGAGGCCCTGAAAGGTGAGCTTCGCAGGCCGCTTCAGATACACCGAAGGGTGAGACGTTAACCGATAGAACGAAAGAATGGGTGGAGAAAGCTCATCGGTGCCAGTGCCAGACTTTTGGCACCTAAGTCCTGTCAGTTGGATTTTGACCTGAAAAATGGACCACTGGGTTTTTGAATTGCGTTTAATCATAAAAGCAGCACAAGCTTATTATGGAAAATTTGACAAGTTTTTTTTTTTTTTTTGAGACAGAGTCTCACTTTGTTGCCCAGGCTAGAGTGAGTGCCGTGGCGTCAGCCTAGCTCACAGCAACCTCAAACTCCTGGGCTCGAGTGATCCTTCTGCCTCAGCCTCCTGGGTAGCTGGGACTACAGGCATGTGCCACCATGCCCAGCTAATTTTTTTTAATATATATATCAGTTGGCCAATTAATTTCTTTCTATTTATAGTAGAGACAGGGTCTCGCTCTTGCTCAGGCTGGTTTTGAACTCCTGACCTTGAGCAATCCGCCCGCCTCGGCCTCCCAAGAGCTAGGATTACAGGCGTGAGCCACAGCGCCCGGCCTGACAAGTGTTTTTGTAAACCATCTTAAGGCCAGGGACCGCGGTTCACGCCTGTAATCCCAGTTTGGGAGGCCAAGGCTGGAGGATCACTCGAGGCCAGGAGTTTGGAGACCAGCCTGGACAACATATCGAGATCCCCATCTCTACAATAAAAAAATTAGCCAGGTGCTCATCTATGGCCCTAGCTGCTTGGGAGGTTAAGGCAGGAAGATGGCTTGAGGCAAGGAGTTTGAGACTGGTGAGCTATGAATCCTGCCACCGGACTGGGTGACAGAGCAAGATCCTCTTAAAATAATTAACATCACCTGAAATATCTCTTCCCAAGACAAGCACTGTCAACATTGTTGATCACTTGCTTCCAGTATGTTGCTAGGCATTTTTTAACACAATCTAGCTCATGCTATAATAGCCTGTATTCAACTTTTAAAAAATATTCCTTGTAAACATTTTAATGGACCCATAATATTCCACCATATGGGACATATATCTTCATGTACTTAACCATCCCTTAAATGTTTGATATTTAGGTTAAGTTTTTGCTACTAAATAGGTGTGTTTTTTGGTTTTGTTTTTTGAGACAGAGTCTCACTCTGTTGCCCGAGCTAGAGTGAGTGGCGTTGCATCAGCCTAGCTCACAGCAACCTCAAACTCCTGGGCTCAAGCAATCCTGCTGCCTCAGCCTCCGGAGTACCTGGGACTACAGGCATGTGCCACCATGCCTGGCTAATTTTTTTGTATATTTATTAGCTGGCCAATTAATTCCTTTGTATTTATAGTAGAGACAGGGTCTCTCTTGCTCGGGCTGGTTTTGAACTCCTGACCTTGAGCAATCTGCCTGCCTCGGCCTCCCAGAGTGCTAGGATTACAGGCGTGAGCCACAGCGCCTGGCCTGAAATATGTCTTTGTACAGGAACCTTTGTCCTCATTTCTGATCTCTGTGGGATCAATTGCCCCATATGGAATTATTGGGTCAAGTGTGTTTATTTTTTCAGAGACAGAGTATGTCACCCATGTTGGAGAGCAGTGCTGCAATCACAGCTCACTGCAACCTTGAACTCCTGGGTTCAAGCAATCCTCCTGCCTCAGCCTCTGAAGTAGCTGGGTGCTGATAGATTTGTTGAAGCAACAAAACGACCCCAAATGTTTATTCATTTGACATATATTTACTGAGCACCTAATATGGACGAAAACTTTTCTGGGCACTCTATCACCACTGAACAAAATAAAAATAGCTGTCCTTATGGAGCCTTTATTTTTGCAGGGTAAGAATCAACACTTAAGATAGCGTACCAGAGGTAAAAAGTTCTGTGGAGGATAGGAAGGCACTTGAAGGTATTAAACAGGTGACATGGTCTAACTTACCTTTAAAAAGAATCACTGGCTGCTCTTTTGTGAACACATTACAAGGAGCAAGAACACAAGAAGAGTTATAGACTACTATGAGAGATGATGGTGGCTTGGATCAGGTTAAGAGTGGAGATGAGAATGTACGTAATTTGGAGGTAAAGCCAACAGGACTGGATGTGGAGTTTAAGAAGGGAGTCAAAAATGATTCCATGGTTTTGGCTTGAGCAAGTAAAATGAAGTGACCATTTATTTACCAGCTTGGGGGAGATTTGTAGGAACAGGTTAAGTTTGAGATGTCTGTTAGATAATCCATAGATGTGAAGTAGGGTAATGGATAGAAGAGTTTCAGTTTCAGGAGAGGTGTAGGGCTGCTCTTAAATTTGGAAGTTAAGAGCAAATGGATGGTATTTAAAATAATAAAGCTAGGTAAAATCACTAAGAGAAAAAGCATAGGGCTGAGCTCTGGGGACACTTCAAAGGTCAGAGATAAGAAACCAGTAAAACAGACTAAACAGGAGCCAATACTGTAAGATAGCTGAAGGGGGATGTGCAATCAAGGGAGGTTTTGGGTTTTATTAAGAGATTATAGCATCTTTATATGGAAGTGATCCAGGAGGAAAAATTAATCTATGAGAAAAAAAAGAGCAGATAGAGCAATGTTCTTGAGTAGAAATAAAAAACTTGTAAGTGGAGGAGTCATCCATAATAAAAGTAATGAAGAGGCTGGGCGTGGTGGCTCACGCCTGTAATCCTAGCACTCTGGGAGGCTGAGGTGGGCGGATCGCTCAAGGTCAGGAGTAGGAAACCAGCCTGAGCAAGAGCCCGTCTCTACTAAAAATTAATTGGCCAACTAGAAATACCTAGAAAAAATTAGCCGGGCATGGTGGTGCATGCCTGTAGTCCCAGCTACTCCAGGATGCTGAGGCAGGAGGATCGCTTGAGCCCAGGAGTTTGAGGTTGCTGTGAGCTAGACTGACGCCCTGCGACAGAATGAGACTGTCTCAAAAAAAAAAAAAAAAAAGGAATGAAGGTGCAGATGGTCAGGTCAGGAGGTAGGTAGATGTGATTGTGGGAGACAGAAGAAATTCTCCTCTGAGTGCATCAATTTTTCAGTGAAGGAGGAAGCAAGAAGCAAGGTTATCACCAGAAAACAAACATGACAGAGGAGATGCTTTGAGAAGGAAGAGAGGGTGTGAAACAGCCTACCAGGACAATGAATGACTAAGAGAAACCAAGTGTGGTTACTGGGCACATCTGAGGTTCAGAATAAGGCCAAACAGGCAAGATTCTTCTGCATGTGACCCTTTGAATTTAAGTGACAAGCACGTTTACCCTCACGGCTCTGGTTCTTTTCTTTCTTTCTTTAAAGATTAACATTTCCAAGTGTTGCCAAGGATACAGAGCCACTGGGACTCTTTTTTTTGGAGACAAGAGTCTCACTTTGTTGCACAGGCTACAGTGAGTGCCCTGGCATCAGCCTAGCTCACAGCAACCTCAAACTCCTGGGCTCAAGCAATCCTACTGCCTCAGCCTCCCAAGTAGCTGGGACCACAGGCATGTGCCACCATGCCCGGCTAATTTTTTCTATATATATTTTTAGTTGGTCAATTAATTTCTTTCTACTTTTAGTAGAGATGGGGCCTTGCTCTTGCTCCAGCTGGTATTTAACTCTCTTGGCCTCAAGTGATCTGCTCTCCCTTGGCTCCCAGAGTGCTAGGATCACAGGCATGAGGCACACCCCAGCCGGCTCTGGTTCTTAATATCAACTTTTCTCCAATTTTGGGAGTATTTATGCATCAGCTGTACTTCACATCTCTTTTTAGACTTAATACATTTTCATCTTCTTTACATGGATCATAAAATAATAAACATCAAAAACCCTTTAAGAATCACTGTATTTTTTATGGCATAACTATAGCTTGTTTCAATGAAAACTAAATTTTTATTCAAAGATATTTCATAGTCCATTTGTGATTAATAATGTTCATTTCTGATATTTTTCAGCATACCTGATTGATAAAGTCAAAATCAAAGGCTATTATGCATTCAAACTGACTGAAGAAAATCTAAACCCAGATATGGATTCTTTTCATCTGATTTTAAAGCGCCAAGTCCTCAATACAGTTTTACAACAAAGTGATCAGCAACAGTGGATTCCCTTCTGAGAACAGTAGTCCTAGATGCACTCAGACTCAAAGAAACAAAGAATGGCACTGTCTGCTTATTCCTTGTGCAGAAAAAACGCGCTGATATTCTTGGGTTGTTGTCTTCTTCTCCACCCTGGTTGTTTTATCAATTACCATTTTTCATAAGCAAAAAAGAAAATTTTGGAAAGCAAAGAACTTACAACACATACCATTAAAGAAAGGCCACAAGAGAGTTCTTAGCTAAATTGGTCTTATTTTTTATCTGTATCACAGTTAAAAAAAATTCACTCAGTTCCTATACTGGTAACTTACAGGAGATACACCTATATTGTAGAAAGAGACTATTTGAGATAGAATGGTAACCAGAGTGATGACAATCGATGTCTCTGCTGTGTGGTTTAAATGAATTTTCTCTCAGGTGTTGACACCAGTGAATCCACTGCTTCTTGAAGTTTGATGAGCTGTTTTCCATCATCTTCTCTAGCTTTCTTGTCTAAATACCAATAACTACTTATGGTAAAATAAATTATTTTTTAAAATAAACTTTTGTTTTGTAGACTCATATAGCAGGGACTTAAACCCTACTTTAAATTAGATAATGAGTAATATATTCTGTCACTTCTAACAAGGTGCTTCCCCCTTTAGGTCAGGGTGGTTCTCAATGAAAGAAAAAAACACCAGTAGGGTTAGTGCTTGTCTAGACAGTTATAGCTCTGACTTTTTTTTTTTGAGACAGAGTCTCACTTTGTTGCCCAGGCTAGCAGTGACGTGCCGTTGGCGTCAGCCCAGCTCACAGCAACCTCAATCTCCTGGCTCAAGGGATCTGCTCCCTGCCTC